AATTCTTTTTTTTTCCAAAATAATAAATTCTGGTTGAAAGAATTCTTAGTTTGTATTCAACTCCTAGAAGACTTGCAGTAAGGCAGAATTGTACTTCCTCCAGGTGGGGCTGGAACTGATTTTTTTTTCTCCTCCCGCCGATATTTCATCATCAACAGACTTGCTCGCTATTCAAGAAAAAAATGCAATGGCCTAAGCTATGTTTATGAATAATTTTAATTTAATTTATAGGAAATGAATTGCTTTATCTAATGAGAGTTTTTTTTCGTAGTTCGTTAGCCGGCCATGCTAGTCCTACGCGAACGTTCTACGAAAACGCTTGTTTTGAATCCGCGAATGCGGATGCTGCCGTGTGCTGAACAGTTCCTGTTTGGTGGTGGTATATGCTGGTCACACTGTAAGGCAATTGTATTCGTAATGTATTGCTCAGGCGTGCTATGAAAATATTACATCAAGAGTCGAATGCAGATATCTACATTGGTTTGTGTATATGCATATAAATGTATATATAATCTGTCAGTCTATATGTATGATTATATGTATACATGCATATATATACATACACACACACACACACACACACACACACACACACACACACACACATATATATATATATATATATATATATATATATATATATGTGTGTGTGTGTGTGTGTGTGTGTGTATACACACATGTGTGTGTGTGTTTTTTTATAGAATTGTAGTAAAGAGACAGGTTTATAAATAAGTATCGAAAGGGATCAATTTTAGTCTTTATTGCAAGCTCAGAGGCAGGTTTCAGTTCTAGTCAGTCACTTTGCACGAGATTCCAGCCTTTGACTCTTGACAGCTAATCTCTGCTCAGGGAAAGGGAATCACAGTTGCATTTCCTCATGGTTGTGGTTGTGAATTAGAATGTGTAATGGTTGAATGATTGTTCAAGAAAGAACATTAAGGAAATTTAAAGACAATTGCTTATATAAAAATGAGTGATGGGTGAGTATAAAATGAGTGATGTGAGGTTTTATCTAGCATGAGAAGACGGTGTCGAGCATGACGAAGAGATCCTCCCTTGAAAGGACACACTTGTCGAATCGGACGCTGCACGCCTTGGGGTCGTCCTTGGCGAGGGCGATGGCCTGGTCGTACTCGATGCGGGAGGACTTGAGGTTGTCGGGATTCTCGAAGGCCGTCTTGAAGGTGGACATGGATGGGGTGAGGCTGTCGGCGGGCGTCGCCTCGATCTCGCACAGCAACTTGGCGATGCAGCCGGCCGAATCCAGTTCCTTGGCGACGGCCACCTTTGGAGGAAATATATTGGATTAGATACACCGCGCAGTGCGTATCTAGAAATATAATTTGTCCATCTGAACTTGCAATATGAACATTCCTCTTAACATCGTCAGTACAAACCTCAGCTTCATCGTCGATCTCCATGGAATCGACGTCCCTCCTGTAACGGCGCTTGAGATGCTTCCCGATAAGAACTCCCTTGAGCACTGCCAGGGCGCCCACGCCAAAGCTGCCGCTGCAGAAGCAGTGACAGTGGTAGCGGCGATGGTCCCGGCTGCGGCGGTGGTTCCCAAGAGGATGAGAGACTCGGAGGAGGCCCAGAGGCCGCACAGGAGGAGAGCGACGAACACGCGAGAGTTCATGGTTATATTGTGGTTGAAGCTGAAGGAAGAATTCAGTGGTTTAAAACATACATGTAGGAAAATATGCGGGATATTGCATGTAAATACGTAAGAAAATATGCGGGATGCATTATTTTATGATAAAATATAAGTAAGATATTGCAAATCTATGATCGGTATTTACATATCACCATTGACACTAAAAGAAGTAATTTCTAAAAAGTGGTCCACGAGTCCCTCCCCCTTACCTGCTTGCGTTTCCAGCGAGGGCGTACAGGATTCTGCTTCGACCCCAGCTCCTCTCCCCGTATTTATGGAGCTGGGAAGGACCTACAGAAGGTGAAGGACCTCGTTCCTATCTGATGGAGGGAATCGCACAAGTTTACCCAAATGTAACGACTGGTCACCCATTTAATGTTTTCCTGGATGTGTGTGAGTACCATATTATACGCCAAAGAAGCTGCATTCCATAGCACGAGAAAAAAATAAACAAAAAATCTTTATTAAATCAAACAAAAGGCATATTAATTTTGGAAATGTATCTCAAAGCTTTTGAATCTCATAAGATGTCTTATCCGTAATATCTTAGTCCTTATATAGAGTTTTATACCTGTTGTTAATTATGTATAATCCCCCACCAAAATAAGAGAAAAGAACACTGTCCCAAAGTATTTGTTTACAAGGCTTTCTTGCACTCCAAATCTCGTCGCTTGGAGGCCTTCGAACTTATGGTCAGTGCATTATTTATGCATTTGATTTCAAAGGTTACCAGGGAAAGGAAATCAGCATAGCCGAACTTTGTGTTTTCACTGACCTTTCCCAAAAGGTCTTGGGACACGGGCGATTTTTGGATGATTTTTCAGGGTAAAAAAGAACAAAAGGTATGTGAAACGATGTTCATACAACTGTGCATATTGCAGACACACGCACACTCACACGCGTATGCATATACTCGTTTATATATGTGTGCAGTATATATACAATATATATATATATATATATATATATATATATATATATATATATATATGTATTGATGTATGGCGATATTCCCGACGGTATCTATATGCATTATGATAATGATACCAGTTATGATAACTATGATTATAATAGTGATAATGATAGAAATGAAGATGATCATAATAACTGCAGTGACAATGATAGTAATGGTAATAATAATGATACTGTTGATGACAGTAATACTAATAATTATAATGACAATAGAAAAAAGTAATAATGATAATGATGATAATCATAATGATAATGATAATCGCAACGGTAATGTGATAATAATATTAATCATGCTAATAATCTTGATGCTGATAATTTGATAATGATTATAATAAAGATAATGTTAATGGTAATAGAAGCTGTTTTCAAAACATATTTTTTGATCTGGTGTGTTCCTCCTTCGAATGCTTCTATGGCATATTCTAAAACTGTCTATATAAGTATATATGTTTGCATGTGTATGCATGTATGCATATTTGCATATGTACATATACATATCTATCGACCTAATTGACTCTACGTATATTTACATTGCATATGATGCGTATTTCCGTCAATGCAGGTGGCAGAGCCTGAGAGTATCACACAGAACCAGGTCAACACAGGGAGTGGCCAGTGATGCCAAAACCATCCGTCCCCTGGGAAATGAGCATATATATGTTTATATATGCAACGAATATATGTATATATATTAGTATATATATACTATGTATATAAAGGTATATTTATGGTATATATGTATATATATCAGTATATATATACTATATATATAAAGGTATATTTATGGTATATATGTATATATATCAGGATATATATTCTATACATATAGTATATAAACTATACATATATATGGACATATATATGCACATATATATGTATGTATAAACATATGTAGATATATGGATGAATATAGTTATATATTACATCACCACTTGCATGCGTATTTAGCGAAGGATTGGAAAATAAATGTAATTTCTCGGAGAAATATGATTTATTTCATTTGATGGTAAGCAAAAATGAAGCGTTATGAACACTGCAGATATTCACTGTGACTCTCAGGTCCAGTCAGTGACAGTCTGAAAGCTACCTTCGGTCACAGTGACGACTCCGATCCACTCAGTCTGCCTGCGTGTGCGCGTGATGATGGTGTGATTGTGAGGTGCTTAGTGTAAGAATGCGGTGCTCATGACTAGCATGAGAAGGTGGAATCCAGCATGAAGGAGAGATCGTCCCTGGAGAGGACGCACTTGTCGAAGAGGGCGCTGCAGGCCTTGGCGTCTTTCTTGGCGAACTTGGAGCCGAAGGTGATGGCCAGGTCGTAGACGCCTCGGGATCCCTTGAGGTTGCTGTTGTTGTCGAAGGCGGTCTTGAAGGTGGACATGGCTGGCGTGAGCTGGTCAGCGGACATGGCCTCGATTTCGCACAAGAGCTTGGCCACGCAACCAGCAGAGTCCATCTTCTGGGCCACAGCAATCTGTTGGAGTGAAAAGAATATTAGTAAAGTCCAGAATTCCTTTATGTATGTGCCTTTCATTCCACATATACATAATTGCACAATTAAATTTTTGTGAATGTAATTTCTATAAGCGTTAACTTACTTCTGTTGCAACGTCCTCCTCCATGGAATCGACGTCCCTCCTGTAACGGCGCTTCAGATGCTTCCCGATAAGAACTCCCTTGAGCACTGCCAGGGCGCCCACGCCCAAAGCTGCCGCTGCAGAAGCAGTGACAGTGGTAGCGGCGATGGTCCGGCTGCGGCGGTGGTTCCCAAGGATGAAGACTCGGAGGAGGCCCAGAGGCCGCACAGGAGGAGAGCGACAAACACGCGAGAATTCATGATGGTGGCGGAGTCTGTGAGGAGAAAAGTTGACAGTGAGGCTACGCAGAAAGCTAAAATCGTCAGAAGTCGACGACCTGAGACATATTCAAGAGTCTCACAGGAAACAATTTCAGAAGAACCAGAAAAGAGGATCTTTGTCCCTTACCTGCTTGTGTTCTGGAGCAGTGAGAGGACGAGTGTGATGGCGGTTCCTGGCAGAGCGCGATATTTATAGCGAGTGGACGGAGGCAGGCGGTGAAGGACCTGATCCTGGGTGAGAGGGAAAGCGAACGTATCCTATGGTGCAGGTAAGGCCTATTGACGTTAAATTAGTATAGTATTTCAATCCTTACGTACGTGCTTCCTCAACGCACAAATGTGCTTGTATCTGCTTCTCTGAACGTTCGTTACAAGACATCGCTTTATATGTATTTGTATGCACATTTTAAATCCACAGACGCACGTGTGGGTGTGTGCATATATCGGTTAGATGGATTTACACACAAACACATACATACACCAGCACACATATATATGTGTGTGTGTGTACGTGCACATATATACATACATACACATGTGTATACATATGTATGCATACATATATACAATTACATATACACATACACATAATGTGTATGTAAGTGTATACAGGTATATGTATATACATATACGTACAGGTCTTTATATCTTTATTAGTGTACGTACTTGTATATAAATGTATATATATACATATATATCCATATATATACATGTATATGTGTCTGTGTGTTTGTATATATGTGAATATATACGCACAAGTTTATATAAAAGTATATATCCTTTCTGAACGTGCTTTTCAAAAGGAAATTATGAGATATGTATACATATACTCATGTATTTTGTTGATATACGTAATATATATGTATATATATATATATATATATGTCAACCTGCCTGTCTATTTATCTAAATCATGTAAATTTCTAATACATCAATACACAAAGACACATATGTATATATACGCATTTATATATACTGATTTATATATATAAATCCCTTTCTCCTATATATATATATATATACACACATATGTGTATGTGCAAAAGAATCATGAAGTATTCCTCGTATCACTTATACTCTAAGGCCACAGCATTTTTTTTTTCTTGAATAGGGCCCGCCGACATTTATTTCCAAGAAAATGAAAAAAAAAAGAAAATCCCGATTATTTTTTTTCAAATTTCCGCCGATATTGTGACGTCCGCGAAAGAAATAGCAAATGAATAAATATAAAATAAATTTGTCTATGATTCATTGTGTATGGCATCGTTTCTCCCGTCCCCAAAACAAAAATAAAATATATTTGGTGTAAATACCTTACTCTCATGCGTCATGCCATGTCTGTTGTCTATCGTGCCCGTGGTCGGTGGTCGCTTCTGATCAGTACTGGCGTATTTCGCATTATGTTGAATTTCATTTCATATCCTTTTCCTACCTGTACAAAATGGCAATATATATATATATATATATATATATATATATATATATATATATATATATATATATATATATGTCGATTTTTTTTCCAAAATAATAAATTCTGGTTGAAAGAATTCTTAGTTTGTATTCAACTCCTAGAAGACTTGCAGTAAGGCAGAATTGTACTTCCTCCAGGTGGGGCTGGAACTGATACATTCCTTTACTTCTGATCTTTGGAAGGTAGGAGGTACACTTGTCTTATTTTGGTGCTGGGGATTTTTTCCCTCCCGCCATATATTCATCATCACCAGACTTGCCCGCTATTCAAGAAAAAATTGCTGTGGCCTAAGCTATGTTTATGAATAATTCAATTTCATTTATAGGATTGCTCTAATGAGTAATTTTCCTAGTTCGTTAGCCGGCCATACTAGTCCTACGCGAACGTTCTATGAAAACGCTTGTTTTGAATCCGCAGATTCATCGCCAGGGAGCCGTGCGAATCCGCCGTGTGCTGAACAGTTCGTATTCGGTGGTGGTATATGGTGGCCACACTGTAAGTCAACTGTATTCAGGATATATTGCTCAGGCGTGTGGTGAAAATATTACATCAAGAGTCGAATTCAAATATCTACATTTGTTTGTGTATTTGCATATAAATGTATATATAACTTATCAATCTATATGTATACGTGCGTATATATATGCAAATATACGTATATATGTATATATATGTGTATTATAGTGTGTGTGAGTGTGTACACGCATGTGTTTTTATAGAATTGTAGTAAAGAGACAGGTAAATAAATAAGTATCGAAAGGGATCAATTTTAGTCTTTATTGCAAGCTCAGAGGCAGGTTTTCAGTTCTAGTCAGTCACTTTTGCACGAGATTCCAGCCTTTGACTCTTGACAGCTAATCTCTGCTCAGGGAAAGGGAATCACAGTTGCATTTCCTCATGGTTGTGGTTGTGAATTAGAATGTGTAATGGTTGAATGATTGTTCAAGATGAGAAAGGGAACATCAAGTAAATTCATTGAAGACAATTGCTTATATAAAATGAGTGATGGGTGAGTATAAAATGAGTGATGTGAGGTTTTATCTAGCATGAGAAGACGGTGTCGAGCATGACGAAGAGATCCTCCCTTGAAAGGACACACTTGTCGAATCGGACGCTGCACGCCTTGGGGTCGTCCTTGGCGAGGGCGATGGCCTGGTCGTACTCGATGCGGGAGGACTTGAGGTTGTCGGGATTCTCGAAGGCCGTCTTGAAGGTGGACATGGATGGGGTGAGGCTGTCGGCGGGCGTCGCCTCGATCTCGCACAGCAACTTGGCGATGCAGCCGGCCGAATCCAGTTCCTTGGCGACGGCCACCTTTGGAGGAGGAAAATATATGGATTAGATACACCGCGCAGTGCATATCATCTGTGTTGGTGAGAAGCACGTTTAGAAATATAATTTGTCCCATCTGAACTTGCAATATGAACATTCCTCTTAACATCGTCAGTACATACCTCAGCTTCATCGTCGATCTCCATAGAATCGACGTCCCTCCTGTAACGGCGCTTGAGATGCTTCCCGATAAGAACTCCCTTGAGCACTGCCAGGGCGCCCACGCCCAAAGCTGCCGCTGCAGAAGCAGTGACAGTGGTAGCGGCGATGGTCCCGGCTGCGGCGGTGGTTCCCAAGAGGATGAGAGACTCGGAGGAGGCCCAGAGGCCGCACAGGAGGAGAGCGACGAACACGCGAGAGTTCATGGTTATATTGTGGTTGAAGCTGAAGGAGGAATTTAGTGGTTTAAAAATATGTATGGAAGAATATATGCGGGATGCATTATTTTCTGTCCATAAAATATTATCATTAAGATATTACGTCTATGATCGGTATTTACATATCACCATTGACACCAAAAGAAGTAAGAGAGAGATTTCTAAAAATCCCCCCTACCTGCTTGCGTTTCCGGCGAGGGCGTACAGGATTCTGCTTCGACCCCAGCGCCTCTCCCCGTACTTATGGTGCTGGGAAGGACCCACAGAAGGTGAAGGACCTCGTTCCTATCTGATGGAGGGAATCGCACAAGTTTACCCAAATGTAACGACTGTCACCCATTTAATGTTCTCCTGGATGTGTGTGATGAGTACCATATTATACGCCAAAGAAACTGCATTCCATAGCACTAAAAACTTTTAACCATTTTTTTTATCAAACAAAAGGCATATTAATTGTGGAAATGTGTCCCAAAGCTTTTGAGTCTCATAAGATATCTTATCCGTAATATCTTAGTACTTATATACAGTTTTATACTTGTTAATTATGCTTAACCCCCACCAAAATAAGAAAAAGACTGTCCCAAAGTATTTGTTTACAAGGCGTTCTTGCACTCCAAATCTCGTCGCTTGGAGGCCTTCGAACTTATGGTCAGTGCATTATTTATGCCATTGATTTCAAAGGTTACCAGGGAATGGAAATCAGCATAGCTGAACTTTGTGTTTTCACTGACCTTTCCCAAAAGGTCTTGGGACACGGGCGATTTTTGGATGATTTTTCAGGGTAAAAAAGAACAAAAGGTATGTGAAACGATGTTCATACAACTGTGCATGTTGCAGACACACGCACACTCACACGCGTATGCATATACTCGTTTATATATGTGTGCAGTATATATACAATATATATATATATATATATATATATATATATATATATATATATAGATATAGATATATGTGTGTGTGTGTATACATAGGTATATGTATGTATATTACTATTAGTATCGACGTACGGCGATATTCCCGACGGTATCTATATGCATTATGATAATGATACCAGTTATGATAACTATGATTATAATAGTAATAATGATAGAAAAGATGATCATAATAACTGCAGTGACAATGATAATAATAGTAATAATGATACTGTTGATG